CATAAAACATGATCTGTTCTCCACACAAGTCCTAAAACTAGATAAAGAGAACCCAATTAAACAAATGAGTCAAAAACATTATACTTGTTCATTGATTTATTGAGGAAAATGATCCAAAACTACATGTTTGTGCACGGCAAAAGTATGTGAACCTCTAGGATTTTCATTTGAAGGGAAAATTAGAGTCAGGCATTTCAGTCAAAGGGGTGATAATCAGGTGTGAGTGTGGGAGATCCTGCCTTATTTAAATAATAGAATTCTGAGTATTCACTATCAAAGTCTGATCTTTACAACATAAGTATGTGGAAATGTGTCATGGCTTGAACAAAGGAGATTTCTGAGGACCTCCGAAAAACAGGTGTTGATGCTCACCAGGCTAGAAAAGATTTCAAAATTATTTCCAAAGAGTTGGACTCTACCGGGTAGATTATGTACAAATGAAGGCAATTCAACACCATTGTTACCCTCCCTAGGAGTGGTCAGCCACGATCACATCAAGAGCAAGGCATGTAATACTTTGGGAAATCTCACAGGGCAATGTCTAAGGAACTAAAGACCTCTCTTGTGTTGGCGAATGGCAGTGTTTGTGAGACCACCACCAGGAGAACATTGAACAACAATGGTGTACATGACAGGGTTGCAAGGAGAAAGCCACTTCTCTCCAAAAAGAATATTGCTGCCTGTCTGCAGTTTGCAAAAGTCCATGTGGATAAGCCAGAGGGCTATTAGAAGAAAGTTCTGTGGATGGATGAGACCAAAATAGAACTTTTTGGCTTGAATGAAAAGTGTTAAGTTTAGCAAAAGGCAAACCCTGCATTTCAGCATAAGAATCTTATCCCATCTGTGAAATGTAGTGGCAGTATCATGGTTTGGGCCTGCTGTGCTACCTGTGGACCAGGATGGCTTGCCATTATTGATAGAACTAAGAATTCTAAATTGTACCAATAAATTCTACAGGAAAACGTCAGCCTTTCTGTCAGTGAACTATAGTTCAAGAGAAAGTGGTCATGCATATAGTGACCATATTTTCTTGGAAAAAATAAAGGACAAACCTAAAAAAAGCAAATCTGAAAGAGGTTCATAAGGATAAAAATTGTAATTGTTTATGGAGTCCTTGGTGCTCTCTAAGCTTGGTTGTTTGCTTGCAGATGTTTCAGTACGTAACTAGATAACATAATAAATGCTGAGTTGTTTATAACTTTGTTTTACAAAGGAATATTCAAGAGCAAAACCAAGACAAACTTTACAAAAACGCATATTCTAATAAAGGACAGCTTTCTGAAATAAAGGACTGTCCTTTATAATAAAGGACATATGGTCACTGTAGTCATGCTGCAAGATAACGACTCGAAACAAGTCATATGACCAAAGAATAGTTAAAGCAGAAGAAAGTTAATGTTTTTGAATGGTCAAATCAAAGTCTTGACCTTAATCCTATAGAAATGTGGAAAGACCTGAAGCAGCCAGTTCATGCAAGGAAGCCCACCAATGTCCCTGAGTTGAAACTGTTCTTTAAAGAGGGATGGGCTAAAATTCTTCCAGGCTGATGTACAGGTCTGATCAACAGTATTGGAAACAGTTATTGCTGCCCAAGGGGGCACACCCTTTACTGAAAGCAAAGGTTCACATACTTTTGCCACACAAATATATAGCTTTGGATCATTTTCCTCAATGAATAAATGTACAAGTATAATGTTTTGGACTGATTAGTTTAATTTGGCATTCTTTATCTAGTTTTAAAACTTGTGTGGAGAACAGATCATATTTTACATAATATTTATGCAGAAATACTGAAAATTCAAAAGAGTTCACAAACTTTTGAGCACCACTATAAATAAGAATATAGACAGATTCCTGTTCCTTTTGTGAACAGATTATACCTCTCTTTAAATGAAAAAGAGAAAATACTGGAATGGCATAATGATTAACGCTAATTGTAAGTATCATTTTTTTCCAAAATACACAACAATATAGTATATAGTATATTATACCATATGATATAGTAATATATAATAAACTACAATAACAATAATACAATAGATGCAATACAATAGATATAATAATACATTAGAAGGTGCCACAATTTAGTAAACAACATACTGTTACTGTACTCTGTTCCTTGAAGGCCTTCTGGAAAAATAACATTTATTTATTTATTTATTATTTATTTTTCAAATTTGTATGCTGCCCATCTCCCCCAATGGGTGACTCTGGGTGGCTTTTTAGCAGTTTTCTGTAAAAACAAAAAGGAAAGGGCAAGCTGTTCCATAAGTGGACAGTTCCTACAGAGAATGCCTGTTTCCAAAACTTCGAAGAAGAAATCCCAGTACAGGTACAACAATGGGAAGAACTAGGGGGAAAAAATCAATATCATTTACTCCAAGCTACAATTTAAGGGAAAATTAATGTAAACTGTCTTATAGATGGTATATTATAGATACCTCTATATACTATCTATATTATAGATGGGGAAAAATTTAAAAAAGTGTTTTGATATACATGACTCTGCTCCACTTCCTCCATTTGTGAAGAGTTCTGACAGCATTCATTAGTCTTGTTTCCATTCCTCGATGCACACATACACATACACCTGCAGGTATTTTAGTTCCATACCTGTAATGGTATGTGGGAATGACCTTGGGAGTCAGGAGGAAGAGCCACAGACTAGGCGACTGGCGAGTAAGAGGCAGCTTAGCCCACAGAAAGAATGGGAGTGTGGCAAACATCTTAGAAGGGATCCTTTACAGTTTACAGGAGGGAAATTTTGCACTTTTTTGAATTGTAAAGGTGTTGGTGGGGGCAGGGGCGGAAGAGATGTATTTTCAGACTTGCAAGATTCTGTTAATGTAACTTTACAATAAAGATAGAGCTAGTACTCCTGGGTGTGCTTCTTGTCTGGACTATCTTGCAAGTCTGATTGTGCTGCACCTCCTCCCCTTCTTAAGGTTCTGTGAATTAGGGAGGTTCTATCTGAGCATATTGGGTGGGAGATTCTGGAAGCTGAAGTCCACACATCTTAAAATCACCAAGGTTATAGACCTGTTATAGTAAAGTATCAAATTGGCCATCCCCAAGAACAGTCCTTTCTCCTCCATATCTTCCTCTGCCCTTCATCACTGCAATGTTCCTACCTGTCCTCTCAGCCCCACGTCTATGCTCTAGAGCCCCAACATTCGCAGACATCTCCACATACTTCACACAACCAATCTTCCAATTCATAGGTACCCTGAAGAAGCTGCTTCTGACCAGCACTCACCAGCTCCTTCCCAGTCCCAGCAGATAATTCAAACAATGAGCATTGATGATGTCACCTACTTGGCTAACGAAACGTCTGCAAGCAAACAACCAAACTCAAGAGCGCCAACAGCTCCACCAACACGCTCATTCCCAGTCTTCAGCCTACACACCCCCATCTACAAGTCGAGGTCTGCTATCATTGAGACTCACAAGTCACAAACTGAGGTACGCAACCCCTAGAGGTTATTTTATTATATGCAATCATGTTTTCAAATTAGAGCAATTAATTTCATTAATGCAGGATTTGACTATGAGCCTATACGCGCGCGTTAATTCTGGCACTGGCAGAAAAGCATTCAGTTCGCGCTTCCTTTCCTAGCAAGTAAGAGAAAAAGGATGCAGCGTGTACACAGACACTCATTAGGCCCCGGCAGAGGGCGCAGGCAACCTCGAGTTTAAACGAAAGCACCGTGCTATACGCTCTTCCCGCTAGCTCCGCCCCGTTTGCAGCGGTTACGCGTGCGCAGTTAGCTAAGCAGCCCTCGGAGCGTGCCAAACCAGCCTTGATGGCTAAGCGCAGAGCGGAGGCGGTGGCCTGTTGCGCGCCCTGCCAGCACTATCATCCGCACGCGCCTTCTTCGAAGCGGTCGCGGAGCGATCTCGAACGGTGGGAGTCGCGAGGCGAAGCGGTCTGGCGTGAAAGCGGCAGTGAGAAGAAGCGCAAATGGATGGGGGCGGAGGAAGGCGACGAGGCGGGGGCCAGCGGGAAGAGGCCCATGGGGCTGAAAGAGCGCGGATCTCCGAAGGCGTGGGGCTCCGTTCCCGCGGAAGGAACAGCGCGGCGGGAGT